CCCCCCCCCCCCGCCAAGATCAGGCATCCCCACTCTGGTCCCCTGAAGAGGCCTTCATGAGTAACAGCATGGATGTTTTCTGGGGTGCCCAGTGTCTGTCACTTGAGAACACTGAATGACCATGGAATTCTATGGGATCTGAGTCACCAGTGAGCTAGATAGCAAAAGGGACACCTGAGAAATCTGGACCCCCCCCCTGCTACTCTGGGCCTTCAAGGCAGCCAGCCTTAGGGACTCACTCCTGAGCAGTGACTGGAGGCCAGACAAAGCAGCAGGGGAGGAAGGACAATACCAAAGGGGCCCTGGAGGTCAGTGAAGGATATCACAGTAGCCAGAGGGCACTCCCTCACGGAGGCCTTGAGGACAAGCACTGATCCCCCACAGAAAGGGAGACTGGGTAACCTTTAGACTCTGACTTTGTCCAGCTCATTCCCGGGCCCTGGATACTCCCTGATGCATCATCACTCCCAGGACAGTCCCCTCTCTCTGGCCAGGACCCCAGTACAGAGGCCCTGTCTGTCCTTTGCCCTGCCCCTCCTTCTCTGTTCTGGCAGATCCTGATCTGGGGCCTTCGGAACATGAAGCAGGTGCGCTCCCCCCAGCTCCTGGTAGAATGCTGGGAAGAGTCCCTGCAGACACAGCCCATCAAGGACTTCCAGACCAACCCCAACTTCACCCAGTCAGTCCTCTTCCTCACAGTGGTAAGGCAACCTCGGGCAAAGCAGGGGCTGGGGCAGCGCTCTCCCCTGGGAGGCCTCATGCCTGGGCCTCTCCTTGGGGCTGCAGTTCATGCCTATGGAGGAGGTCTACGCGCCACCCCTCACATTGAAGGTGGTGGACAGTCAGGACTTCGGCCAGCAGACTGTGGTGGGTCAGGCCAACATCAACTCCCTACAGCCCTACTTCTGCGACCCCTGGGCTGAGGACTACGTGCCTCCACAGCTTCCAAGTATGGCCCTTTCCCCCTGCCCTTCCCAGCCTCACTCCTAAGCTGGCACTGGGAGTGGGGCAGCCATGGCAGCCCTGCGGGGCTGGTGTCCCTCCTCCTCACCCTTCTTGCTGCTCCTGAGATTCATGATTGCTCTTTCTCCTCAGTGCTGTCTATGAACAAGTACCAGAAGGTGAGTAAAGGGCTCAAGGTCCCACCTTCTTCTACACCATTTACAGGGAGCAGCCCTTGTCCCCGAGGAGAAGCGGAGATTAAACAGAGTTCTGAGACATGTGCTCTCAGTGTACACGAGAACTCTAAAGCTGTGATTCCCAATGTGGACAGCATGTTAGAACAGTCCGAGAGTTTAAAGAAATGCTGTAGCCAGGCCACAGGATAGCTAGCGGGAAGGACCCAAGTATCAGCATTTTTTTCAAGCCCCACCCCTCTCCAGTGATTTCAATGTTTTCAAGGTTCAGAACTATCCCTTGAGAGCTGCACTTATCAAACCTGAATGCACAGGCATCTTGGGGACATCTGGAGCAAAAGCAGGTTCCGACTTAGTAGGCCTGGGGTGAAGCTTCAGGTTCTGCATTTCTGGGCCCTCCCAGAGTTCCATCTGAAGCTGTGGGCATTGAGGATAAGAACTAAGCTTACCCTCCTTCTGGTCCCCAAACCCATGTCTGACGATCTTGGAATTGAAAGGACTCCATGAGGAGCAAGGGAGCCAGGGAAGGGAGCCCTGCCCTCCACTCCCTTTCTCCTCAGAAGTCAGGGATGGTGAGCGGGCCAGGCAGGGGACACCATACCTCACCCACTCTTCTGCTCTCACTTTTCAGGTCCTAGATTACCTCTATGAAAAGTTCTGGTTCGAGTCCAGCAAAGCTGAGGTGACGTAGGCTCAGACTCAGGGAACAAAGGAACGACTCTGGGCAGCTCAGGGAGGCAGGGGGCAGCATGACCCTGGGCAGAGGAAGGCCACTGTGCCTTCTCCCTGAAGGCCAGAATGACCTTCCCTGCCAGGACGAATATGAGCATGAAGTGGACTGGTGGAACAAGCTGTTCTGGGCCACAGGAGATGCCAAGTCCTTGCAGTACAAGCACAAAGACTACCACACCCTGAAGGTTTGGAGGCCTCTAGCGGGGAGACTGCTGAGACTCGGAATAAAATCTGCTGGCAGAGACCAGCAAACCTCACCCTGATTCCTCTAGGAACTACCAGCGGGGATGGGGGCAGGCAGGAGAGGGGGTAGTTCCTTCTTGTCTCCCTAAGACTCCAGGCCAAACCTCCACCAGCCATGCCTTTTTGGGAACCAGGACTGCCCCACCTGCAGCAGGAGGTGCTGACTCTGGGGCCACCGACCAGGCAGATGCTTTGAAGCCAGACCTAGGAACTGGTGGTCCCTCAGCCCCCTGATGGCAGGAATGGTCCCCCTCTGGCTGAGCCCGCTCTCCCCACCAGCCTGGGTCCCATGCACCCTCCTGCAGGTGTATGACTGCGAGCTGGAGGCTGTGCCCGCCTTCGAAGGCCTGCAGGACTTCTGCCAGACCTTTAAACTCTACCAGGAAGAGCCCAAGTTGGACAGCCCTGTGGTAGGGGAGTTCAAGGTGCATGTCCACCCCAGCTGAGCTGCCCCTGTCTCCTGTGCCCCTTCTGTCACCAGAAGACTCTAATAAAAGCCCTGGCTCTCTATGCTCTGTGAGAGGATAGGGCAGGGAGGGCTTGAAAAACAGTTGAGGGAGCAGGGGAGCAGAAGGTGACCTATGCTGGGATTTAGAGTGACCTCCCTTTACATAGGATGGGCAGGGGCCTCCTCACACCAGCTCTGGCCTACGTTGAGCTCCCAAAACCTATAAGTCTTAGAGAACAAGTTCCAACCTGAAGGGATGGACAGGCATGGAATGGGGGTCCGCATCAGCAGAAACTGGAAACTCACCTCATGACTAGAGTTCTTTGCCCAACACTCTTCCTAAACACAGTTGTCCCTGTGGAGTCCCTGCCCGCACCTGCCCTCTCCTGTCCTTGCGGCCTTCCATCCCTGCCATCCTCAACACAGCCTGCTCTCGCTTGAGCTTAGACCAGGGGCACCTCATGGAGGGCTTAACAGAGCCGGGCCCGCACTGCCAACACCTTCCCTCCCCAACACACACACAGGGCCTTTTCCGCATCTACCCCTTTCCTGAGGATCCAGAAGCCCCCAAGCCCCCTCGCCAGTTCACAGTTTGGCGTGAGAAAGAGGACTTCCCTCAGGAGTGCTTGGTGCGAGTGTACATAGTCCGAGCAATCAACCTGCAGCCCCAAGATGCCAACGGCCTGGTAATGAGCAGCCCCAAACCCATGGTGTTCATGGTCCCCGGGCCCACCCAGCCCAGGTGCCTCCCACAGGGTCGTGGAGCTCCCTCAGGCTGCAGATACCCAGACCACCACCTCACCACAGGCTCCATCTGGTACGAGGGGCTCACTTCTGCCCCACCCCCACCCTCCCTGACCAACCTGGGCTGACTTTCCATTTCCTGTCACATTTCCCTCCCTATGACTGAACCCCAGTGTGACCCTTATGTGATCCTGAAACTGGGACAGACAAAGATTGGCAACCGGCACAAGTACCAGCCCAACACTGTGGATCCCATCTTTGGCATGTGAGCTGCCCCAACTCACCCAATCCCACACTTCTCCAGGAGTAAGCTCCAGAAGGCGAACAACTCTTGCATTTCTTTCTAACCTCTGAGTTCCTAGCACGGGGTCTCACAGTGCTCAACAGATGGAAAGGTGGTCAGTTCTACCCTCCTTCTCAAACACTTTGCCTGGGAAAGGAGTTCAGGGTCCCACAACCCAGGCCTACCAAAAGTTGTTTCTAGCCATAGCTAGGGGATAGTTATTGGCAGGTGACAGCCACCCCAGGCTCTGCTCTCCATATTCACCATGACCAAACAAGGGGCTGAGATGCTAGACAGGGAGGCCTGTAGATAACATGGTGCGCAGTCTGCAGTGTCCAACACCCTCACCCCTAGGATGTTTGAACTCAGCTGTACCATCCCCCTGGAGAAAGACCTGGAGATCCAGCTATATGACTTTGACCTGTTTTCACCTGATGATAAGATTGGAACCACAGTCATTGACCTTGAAAACCGACTCTTGTCTGGCTTTGGAGCCCGTTGTGGGCTCTCCAAATCCTACTGCCAGTAAGTACACCTGAGGCTGGGCAAGAGAATAGGGGAGGGGTGGAGGAGGGAGCCCCCAGTTCCCTTTGCAGAGGTTGCATCCCAGGCTGGGGAACCAGGGCCCGAACCTGGCTCCATCCATGCCCCCACCACTGCTCATCCTGCAGTTCAAAGCAGAATGTTCTCCAGGACCCAAACCTCCCCACTTGTTCCTCTCCCTTAACCTCACAGGTCAGGGCCCTTTAGGTGGCGGGATCAAATGCACCCAAGCTTCCTCTTGGAACGCCATGCCAAACAGAAAGGGCTGCCTCCGCCTCTGTTCAATCCTGAGGAGGACTCTGTTTTTTACAATGGGAAACAATTCAGACTGCAAAGCTTTGGTGAGAAGTACAGCACGCTGCTGGAAGGCACAGAGACAGGCCTCTGAAACGAAAGGGCACCTGCCCCATTTTGCCCTTTCCTCTTGTGGAGGGAAACCATGGCCACTGTCCAGGCTGGGGTAGGGAAGGGGGCACACCTGCCTGGGAGACAGGAAAGCTAACAACCTCGTGATCCCCTCCCCTTCCACCTCCTTCCATCTAGAGCCCAAGCCCCCTACTGTTCGTTATTTGGGACCTAAGAAAGAACGCCTTGCACTGTACCTCCTGCACACCCAGGGGCTGGTCCCTGAGCATGTGGAGACCCGCACACTATACAGCGACAGCCAGCCAGGCATCGACCAGGTATGATGCTCGAGGGGCTGGATCGGGAGACCAGGGAGCCCATCCATCCAGGACATAGCCATGACGAGAGGGGAAGGGGAGGCCAAGCATTCACAGATGCATGCGCACAAAAGATAAGCATGTTCTGTTAGAAGTGAGAAGTTCCAATGATGTCACTCAGAATGGAGAAATTCGGAGCAGGAAAAGTCGTCTACAAGAAACCTAGGCCGTACATCAGTTGGTAGAAGCGGTAAGGCGCAACCTTACCAGCCTACGCTGCTTTAGTCTCTCCTGAGGGAGGGTGGGGAGGTAGCACCTGGGGTCAGATGTGCAGACATTACAACCCTGGCTTACCTGTTAATTGCAGGCTGTGTTTTCTCCATGGCAAGGAACCCCAAACAGAAGGAATAAAAATCCCCATGGGCACCCTAATTATCATCCACCCTCTACCCTCCAGCCACCAGAACAGCTCATCTCATTCTCCAAATTTCTCAAGCTGATACCACATTCCAGACACAAAGTTCTCTGCTGAGCACTTTTTATAAACCATTCTCATTAAACCTGTTTTCTTAAATGGGGTCAACTTCAAAAGAATAAAATGAGGTCAGTTTGAAAGAATATATTTGTCTATACCTTCCAGTGTTAGTAGTTCTACTCTTTTAGTTTTTTCTCTTCCTTTTTCTCACCATTTTCATCCCTCCCTTCTTAAGACAGACCTCTATGTTTGGTGGACAGCTTCATACCCTTACAATATGCTTACACAACATAAAGCAACCTGGACACTTGGACTGACCATCTAGTTTGCTCTTTCTTGGGGCCGCTAAGGTGGTTAATAAATGAAGCCCCAACCCCACTGTGGTGCTCTGTCCAGAGAGGCTGAGGAGCACGGCCTGCTCAACAGCATTAACCCCCAGTCACAAGTGATAACCCGCTGTGGCCATCAGCCTTGAAGCCATCATACACTACCAGCCTTACTCTGTACCATTCTTCCAGCCAAAATGAGAAAAGGGAATCTGGCGGGGAGTTGCCAGACTTCCTGTCTGAAGTCCATTCCATCTCCTTACCCCACCCTCCTATGGTGGGGACACAGCCTCCACAGACCCCAGAACCTGGGACAGGGCTCCCAGGTCACAGCATGCTCAGAACAGAGGCTGGCAACCCCCAGCCAGCTAATCCATCTCTACTCTAGGGAAAGGTGCAAATGTGGGTGGACATCTTTCCCAAGAAGCTTGGGCCTCCTGGCCCCCCAGTCAACATCAAGCCCAGAAAGCCTAAGAGGTAAGTGACCTACCTCATCCCCGTCACTGTACTTCCCAGGGCATGGAACATGGGTGTGCTCACACACTAAGGAACAGCAAATTCCTTCCTTCTCTTGGGAGTCCTGGGAGCTTCCTTCCCCTGCATCCTCCCAAATGTGGCGTGCCTGGTGTGGGCATGGAGGGCAGCCTCCCAGGCCTGTCTTCCTGCACCAAGTTGGGGAGCTATTCCTCAGCAAAGCCTCAGACTACAGTGGCTGCAGGTATGAGCTGCGCTGCATCATTTGGAAAACTGCCCAAATGGACCTGGGGAAAAGTCTATCTGGCGAGATAAGCGACATCTATGTCAAAGGGTGAGAAAGATGGCAGGGCTCCAGCAGTGTTCCCTCAGAGTTCCCTAGTTGTATCATCCCTATGCCTCCCACCCCCAATTCTGGGGCCACATCTCTCTACTCCCACCCGTGCCTGGTGTCTGTTGAGCAGTGCTTCCCACAAGGGTAAGGGGAGGGGGACAATACATGTGAACCCCAGGTGAAATGACTTTCGCCCCAGGTGGCTATTCGGGCTAGAGAAGGACATGCAGAAGACAGATATCCACTACTACTCCCTCACTGGGAAGAGCGACTTCAACTGGCGGTTCATCTTCACCATGGACTACCTGGCAGCTGAGCATATGTGTGTCCAGAGCCAGAAGGTAACAGAACTGGGAGTGGGGGTGGGGGCTGTGCTCCCTCTCCCGCTTCCTCAGAGAACTATAAGCTGAACACTTGGAATGTGGCCTCAGGCAGAAACTTCTCTGAGAGTCTATCACTGCTGGGTAGTGGGCTACTAAGGGGGCCAAGGGCAATCTCAAGGGAGACAGGCCAGGAATACGCTCTTCTGTCACCCTCCAGGACTACATATGGAGCCTGGACCCCACAGTGATGAAGTTCCCAGCCCGGCTCATCATCCAGATCTGGGACAATGACATCTTCTCCGCTGATGACTTCCTAGGTGAGATCTGGAATAGGGTCCATGACCACAGGACAGGGAGCTCCTTCTTGCTGACAGCATTTCTCTGGGCTCAGGGGTCCTGGAGCTGGATTTATCTGACATGCCTCTACCAGCCCGGCACGCCAATATGTGCTCCATCAGGATGATGGATACAGATTCCAAGTGGCCTTACTTCCTCCAGTATAAGCACGTCTCCCTCTTCAAGAAGAAGACTGTAACGGGCTGGTGGCCTTGCCAGGTCCTCGATGGTGGCAAATGGCGCTTGTCGGTAGGAGCTGGGGAAGGTGTCTATTGCATAGGACTACTATGCCACGTAACTTGGCTCTAACAGACTTCTGGGGACCTTTGCTAAATCCCTTTTCCTTTCTATGGGAAGGGGTCTTAAACTATTCTTGCACCTGTTGTAATGAACTCAGCCTCCCACCACCTATGGTGTTTCTAGGGTAAAGTGAAGATGACGCTGGAGATTCTGTCAGAGAAGGAAGCCCTAATCAAGCCAGCAGGGCGAGGCCACTCAGAACCCAACCAGTACCCTACACTTCATCCTCCCCTGTAAGGGTCCTGTGGGACAAAGGCACAAAATCTTTCTTCCTCATTCACAAAGCTGAGCTGCTAGGCCCGGCAATTTGAATAGAGTGGTGAACATCGGGCCTATAAGTGGAGAGAGGTTAATTACTTCCTAGCATCCCGGCTCAGGGCTCAGCTACAATCAGGAGAGAACAGCCTTAGTGAAGGGGAAATGGGGGGCTGGGGACACACAAGTAAGCAGAAGTTGTTTTAAAAAAGAAAGCTTTTGGGTCCAGATTACTTGACCTGAAGGTTCTCTCTGCCTTCCATCCTCTGACATCTCCTCTGCTTATGGACAGACGACCCAACACCTCGTTCTTGTTTCGGATACCTGTTACAACCTTGTGTCACGTTTTCTGGAAACGCTACCACTTTAAAATCATAGCCGCTGCAATCATATTTATTATAGCACTTCTGCTGTTCAACTTTATCTATTCAGCCCCGGTGAGTGACAATCCTGGGGTCAGGGACAAAGGCACTAGTTGCTCTTGGGATGACTCTGAAGAGACAGCCTCAGGTCACTACCTCAGGCTAACAGTTGCCTTTTCTCTCTAGCATTACTTGGCCATGAACTGGATCAAACCTGGACTTCGGCTGACTGCTCCCCTTAAAATATATAGCAATGTCATCAATCCACCAAACACCCGCATTGCCAACCCTTCTGTCCTCACGGGCCAGCATCTGAACCTAAATCCTGCAGCAGACCATGAGCTGAAATTCCTCCAGGGACCTGTGAATCACCTGCAAGACATTTTTCCAGAACTTCCAGCCCTGCAAGACTAATTGGCCCAGGTCTGCTTGGCTTTTCTCCTGCCCAAGCCTTACCCTTGGGCTTCCTACCAATCTCTCATTTCTATCTTCTAGGACATATGCAAGGGGCTAAGGATATTCTGGCCATTCTGTTCAGAAACCACTTCCAACAAGGACAGAGTTGTCATTTTCCCACTGAAGTAAACAAGTTTTGTCACAGAGAGTCACCTTATAATTTTGGGGGTTGAAGACAACACGAAAAGCAAGACTCACAAGGACAGGGAACAGTGTCCTTTTTATACACCACCTCTAGTCTTCAGGGTCTCCTCCTCTCCAAGAGGCTCTGAAGTCAGAGGGCAACCAAGAGAAAGGGGGACTGTGAGGAGAGAAATGGCTCACGTGGGGTAAGCAGCTTGCCAAAATCACTGTTCCCACCCCTACGGTACATGCACAAAAGAGCCATGCCACAGACCAGGCATCTCCCTCCTCTAGGGCACACCTAGGATTATGGAGCCCAGAACAGTATTTGGTCCCATTCACAATGAGAAATATTTATTTCTAAGAACAAAAAGCAAGAGCTAGGGCATGACCTGCCATGCTAGGTTAGACAGTTTCCTTGCATCACACATATCTCAAAGGCTGGCCCTACGCTGGGTGGGGACTGCATTTCATGTCTTCCCCATCCTGTTTAAAAACCCTCAAGGAGCCCATGAGTGGGGAAACATAAAAAACTCATCTCACACACACACCCTCCCCCATGATGAGACCCCTTCCTCCCACACCACTGCCTGGGCTATCTCAAGAGCTCACCTAGGTCCTCCCACCACAGGGGTCTAGCCAATCTCCCCCTGAGCTCAAAAAAGACAAAAGAGCCATTTGCTTTGTCAATTCTAAGTGGTCCTAAGGCCAAGCTCCAGGTCACAGTTTGTGCTCTGGCACCCAATCCTGGAGCTGCTCTGCTCTTGTGGGGAAGGTCTTAGGAGGACCCCATTTTACTCCCACCTATAGGAGAGCACTGTGGCCTGTGATGCTCACTTGCGCACATGGGAGGGACAGAAAAAAAGCCCAACACGACAGAAACTTATATGCAGCCAAGGTGCCCTCCTTTCCTTCCGGACTGAGCTGAGGGTTTTCCCAACCCAAAAGAAGGCAGGACAAAGGTTGACAGGCTTGGGGCTCAGAAGAAGGCCTAGACCTTCCCCCAAACCTACCCCTCAAAGGAAGGACACTGTTTGATTTCCATCAGTCATTTTAAGAATTTCCCTTAGGCTACAGAAGTACATGGCTAGGAGGGCTCAGAGCTCCAGGCCCTCCAGGGAGACTGGCCTATTGGCCAATTTAACCACAGGGCAGACAGGTGAGCAGCACTTGACCCCTTGTCAGATAAGGCAGTGGAACAAGGATTGACCCACAGTGGATGACACTCAGCCTCTGTCACTTAATGACAATGAACCCTTCCAGGCACAGATGACCAGGGTCTATTGCTCCCAGATTTGCAACAGGAGTTCAGCAACAGTTTCTTATCCATTAAGAAAAAGAAGCCAAGTTTCCTCTTTGGGGAGTATCCAAGCCGAGGCTATAAAAAGAAAGCTTCCTTACATTTTGAACACTCAAAGTGGGATTCCAAAAATCATGATAAACACAAAACATGCAGGCTCCAGAGTCCAGAAACATCTCCACATGGCAAATGTTGCTTTTGGTGTCAAAACATGGAGCTGGGCAGTTTCACAGTTACTCCTATTACATCCATGAAGTCTTCCAAGTTTCTCTTGACTTGCACACCAAGTGTGTCAAACCTGACTGAGGGCCTAAAGAAACCAACTGGGAAAGTCACAAACCAGGAGAGCCAAGTTTCACGCTAAAGAACAATCACTAGAGCAGTGAGCCAAAGCAAAAAGCCCTTTCCCCATGGCCACCTAATGAGGGTCAGCAAAACCTAAGTTTGTTCTGCAGCCCCAGGCTCCAAAAGACAGGCATCCAGATGTCTCTTCCAGCTCAGGCTGCATTTGGAGAGAACGATGAATGGAGGGAGAAGGCAACGCAGGGAAGAAGTTTCCATCCAGATTTCTAACGAAAGTTCCTCAAGTGGACAGAGGCTTGGATGAAAAGCAATGAATGGAAGCCTGAAGGTCTGGGGAGTTATCAGTGTTGTACTCTTTGCAGATTTAAAAATGAAGTACAAGGGTCCTCTGAGTCCAACAACAAGGCAGCCTGAGCTATGAAATTCTTTTCTGTGATTTTAGTACCATAACCGCATAAATTCTCTCTATCCTCTTAGCTCCCAAGTGGAAGGACTGCAGGGAAAGGCACGTCACAGCAGCACTGCCCTGGGGTAGGTGGGCTTCCTGAACCAGAGTCAGATGTCCCCGTGGATTACCATGGTAATGCAGTGTCCCTGCATTCAAAGTTCCAGTGACAGAACAGAGTCCCTGACCAGCTGTTGGAGACTAGAGAAGGCCTGCCAGGCTATATGCTCAGGCCAGTGCCTGCTCCTCCCACACCTCATAGTGACAGCCACAGGGGCGGCAGTAGCAGGACGGCTCAGTAGAAACGCTTTCGGCTCTGTTCCTGCCATTTGTTGTAGAGTATGATACCAATGACAATGGCAAATACGGAAAACACCAGCGAGAAGAAGACGATGAGGAAGAGGGCCAGGCCACTCAGGGGCGGCAATGGGGCGGTCACTGAGGAAGCAAGAGAGAAGCAAGTCAGAATCAGGGAGCCCACCCAGCTGGGAAGATACAGAGTCTCCAGCTTGACACCCATTTCTGGGAGCCAGAAATGATAGACTCTCCCTTTCAGGATGCCTCAATTTAAAAACTGAGCAGCCCTGGGGCGCCTGGGTGGCTTAGTCGACTGAGCGTCTGACTTCAGCTCAGGTTATGATCTCGTAGTCCGTGGGTTCGAGCCCCATGTCTGGCTCTGTGCTGACAGCTCAGAACCTGGAGCTTGCTTTGGATTCTGTGTCTCCCTCTCTGTCTGCCCCTCCCCCACTTGTGCTCTGTCTCTCTCTCGCTCTCTCTCTCTCTCTCTCTCTCAAAAATAAAAATAAACATAAAAAACAACAAACTGAGCAACCCTGCTCATCTGTAACACAGAGACAAGTGGAATGGAAGGAGCGCCTGCTCCATGTTGTTTAGTGGAAGAGCACAGAAAGGAGACGGCCCCACAAGCTGCAGGTGCAAGTCACCCCAGACCTTCCAGGCACGGTGACCTCCCTTTGACCACGGGACCACTTCCCAGGATCCCCTGTGCTCACCCTCAGGCAGCTTCATGTTGTCCACTGAGGGCAGGAACACATCTCGATGCAGTTTCTCCTCTTCTGGGGTTCTCTCCACTGTCAGCTCAAACAACTTCAGGGAAATGACATCATGATTATCTAAAGGAGAAAAGCACAAGGAGGACCCAAACCACCTCAAACAGAGGTATCTTGGGACTTTCTTGGTTCAAGCTTCTGATCCACAGCTAACTAGCAATGACTTTGTTTTTTTTCGAAATTTACTTATTTTTTAAGTAATCTCTCCATGCAACATGGGGCTTGAACTCACAACACGGAGATGAAGTGTCAGATGCTCTACTGACTGAGCAAGCCAGGCATCCCACTAGCAGTGATTGAGAAAAATGGTTGGAACCTGTTTTCTCATCTAAAATCAAGAATAGGGAACAGAGAGAATATTCTGTATTACTCAGGATTTAAAGTTTTTATCAACAAGCATACATTACCTATATAACTTTAAAACTTACACATAATGCAAGAATGAAAGCCCATATCATATGTGAAGCCTTGTAGTACAGTGAGGGAAGACACAGCACTATAGCTTCCCTTCCATGCAGACACACACACGCAAGACAGGAAAGGGCCTTGTGGCAGCTGATTACTAGGTCACAAGCAGGGCATAGCTACTGGCATGGCACACAGTTCCCTTCTGGACTAGGCCTAATTCTCTGCAGCTCCTTATAACTGTGACTCTGAATCTCACTAATAATTACAAGAGAAAGGATCAAGCAATTAAGGGCTCCTTTTTTCCCTCTCTTTTTAAAGTATCATTAATAATGGGGGCACCTGGATGGCTCAGTCATTTAAGCATCTGACTCTTGGTTTCGGCTCAAGTCATGATCTCTCAGTTCCTGATTTCGATCCCTGCATCAGGCTCTGGACTGACAGTGCAGAGGCCATTTGGGATCTCTCTCTGCTCCTCCCATTCTCCCTCTCTCTCTCAAAACAAATATATAAACTTAAAAAGTATCATTAATAAACTCATAGATTCAAACATATTTGATGTGTTTCAATACACTGAACTTGTACAATCTTATAGGTGCTCAATGTGACCTATCTTTCTCCAGTGAGAGCCTATTCGAGTTGGCTTTTGAGTCCTTTTGCATGAACCCAGAAATGTCTGATTCTTTATTGCTTTCCTGGGAGGTTCCCAGTTTATCCATTTCCTGCCTCAGCCCTGGCATCAGCCATTTCTCCAGGAAGCTCTTGTTCTTTCCTTTTAGCATGAATTGGTATTAAGAGACCACAAATCTGAATGCTAGGGGTGCTCATGGCTATTAGGGTTGGTTATTGGAGACTGGACTTCTTGCCATTTCCCTTTTTTTTTTTTTTTCATTTTAACATATATTTTATTTAACCCAATATATCCAAAAAACTATCATTTCTACATGCAAATGATAGAAAAATTGTTGATGACATTACGTTCATTTTCTAAGTCTTTGAAGTCTAGTGTGTATCCTACATTTATAGCACATGTCAGTTTGGAATCGCCCTATTTCAAGTGTCCAGTAGCCACCTGTAACTTGTTGCTACTATACTGGACAGTGTTGATCTAGATCATTATTCTAGTTGACTTCTGACATGTGTGGTGGGCCCAAAGGAAACTCTGATCCTCATAATGTAACACAAGAGAAATATATTTGCATAGGGTACTCTCTGCCCTCTCTGCTTCCAGCTGAGGAACTCCACTTTGGGGTGATAATTTGGGGACCCCTCAACCATTCCTTCCCCAAACTCCCAACTTGTGTCTTCTCAGCACATTTTGTCTTGACTTCTGGCAGAAGAAAGAAACCATATCATGTTCCCACTTTTTTCTTCCTCACACCTAGATGACATCCTTTGAACCAAGAAATTTAGAATTTTTGTATATGGGGGAAAATCCATCAATGTCTCACATACTAGGATTATTCCAATTGCAACTCTGTATGGTCCAGGCATGGTACACCAGGAAGCCTGGTGCACCATTTCTCTGTGATTCTCTCCACTCTGCCCTCTTCTGTGATCTTCATCTCCCAGCTGGTGGCAAGATGGCTGCCCCAGCTCCAGGTATCCCACCCTCCCTCCCTTCCTGAAGAAGGAAGAGGGCCATTTCTATTATTAAGGTGGCATTTACAGCTGCTTAGATTCCTATCTTTAGCAGACTCCCAGAGAGGAAAAAACTAGATTTGCCTTCAATTAGAAAAATGTTTTTGCTGTCAGGAATGAGTTTAAGCCATGAAACGATAAAAAGATGGGCCAATGCTCCTCACAATGTAGGGGCATCAAAGGCTGGGGGTACTGAAATGTGTCCTTTCTCATCCATTTTCAACAATTCACTGCATAACAAGTAAGAAGATGTCAACAAGAAAGACCTTAAGAGAAAGACATAATTTGTATTTAGGGATATCCCACAGGCAGAGAACAGAGACTTGTTAATATAGGCATTATCACTAAACATCTAGAGCAAAGAACTCCTTAGGATAAAAATTACTCTACTTCACACTAGCTTTATTCATAATGAATTATACTAGTCAAAAACCCCCAAAATTCAGTGCCTCACCTCTTCTCAAAAGAAGTTATGATTAAGGCTCAAGCCAAGGGAGAGAACAAACATATAAGAGGAAGTTACAAGTTGAGAACAAGTAGGAAGAAAATCCAGAGATAGAAAAGTAAAAGAACCAGGTACTATTAATGCCACATAAATCAAGAACAGCTGGAGTTTCAGAGTAACTGGTCAAACCAGCTGAAGAGAGGACAAAGAATGGCGACTGAGAACAGAGTACCATGGTATGGCAAGGATGAAGCAGGTTTGAGAAGAGTAGTGCTAATGGCTTGACCGAGATGCATGGGAGGTCTGACTACAGGGTGGCAGAGCAGTGGATGGCCTGGAAACAGAAGCACCTGTGCACAGGACACATTCAGAAGTCTGAGCACAAAGGAAGATCTGGGGATGAGTTCGAAAAGGGAAGGCAGAGTCAAGGAATTCAAGGAAAAGCTTTGTTAAAAGAAGGGGCACCAGAGATATCAAAGTACAGAACTCAAAACACAGGCCTGATGAAGAGGCAAATACTACTTTGCATTAGCACCAACCATCTCCTAGAGCCAACTGGACTAGGATAAGGTAGGCCTGGGAGGGGTGGCGGGGGGGCAGGAGGGGGGTTAAGGATACAAAAATGTCAGAAGAGAGGCACTTCCTGGGTACTTGCTTCCCACAGTTCTGCTTGTCTGGCTTTCCCCTCTGAGAAGCCTCACCAAGGCCTGGCTATCGAGACATGACCTCACTCAGGACAAATAAAGAGTACATGGGGCAATACCCGAGAGATCTCCAGTGATGGAGGAGGTACCAAAGTAGTAGCCCCGGGGCAGACGAACCCCTGGCACCTCAATGCAGTCCCTCCACTCATGCTTGCCATCGATGTCCATCATTATCTAGAATAAAAAGAAGAGATAAATCAGGGCCATGAAAGCAGGTGCAAGGCAGACCATACCACCAACTGGTCCAGAAAACAAGGACTCACCGTCAGATGCCTCTTGACATAGCGAATCACAAGGAAGGTGTCATAATGCAGATTGCGGACAATGGCTGTACAGCCCCCCAGCTCTGTAGGCCGCCCATCCCGCTCATGATCATAGCTGAGGGAGCCATTGTTCACCATGGCTGAGATGTAAGGGAATACCCGCTGGGAAAGCAGGGAAGGAAAAGCAGAGGACAGTAAGGAAGTACTCTTAGGAATGCCTGTACAAATAGCAACAGAATTGCACACATACAAGCTGAGCCCTTTCCAGCAGACCAGACGACCATTCTGCCTCATCATCAGCGGCTCCCTAAAACCCACTCTCAGATGGTCACTCAAAGGATATAGCCCAGGAAGCAACTGAACTCTGTACTTGCCTTCAGGAATCTCCTTGCTACTAATGTGGGGTGGGTCTGAAATGGCCCCTCTGGAGTCTTGACTTGAATCCTTCCAGAGATCCCTATTTGGCATTTACACATGACTCAGGACTGGTGGTTTTCTTTTTATGTGTATATACCTATCTCCCCAACTTCCATGTAAACTCCTTGAAGAAAAAAATCACTTATACTTCCTTATGTGTCTCCACCTTCCATCCCTCCCAAACCCCCTTCGCCCACCCCTACTCATCCCCAGGGTAAGCATTTTGCATATAGCAGATACTCTGAAAATACCTGTTTGATCAGGAAAACCTTTCCATTCTGGATAGCTCCTTTCAAATTCTCAAATCCTATAAGCATATGATGGATGCCATGTGGATTAGGACTCAGAAACAGCACTGCCAGAACCAGGCTGCCAGATGGTGTTCTCCAGCCACAACTGTTCATAGTTGAAAGACCTTCCAGCCCACTTCAGCTTCACCTACACATAACTTCTGCCAGCAATACCCTCCCACTCCCACTACCCATTTCCCACCAACTTCAGAGGCTTTCTCTCTCTCCAGTAGAGTTGTAGGAGGGAATGCTTCCTCAAAAATGATGCCCTAACTATTTAAGAACCAGCCCAGTGCTGAGGCAGTGCAGAGGCAGGGTGATGAAAGGAGAGGAAACATGACACATGACACATGCCACTTCTTTGGTGACTTCCTCATTGCCCTCAACAGTCAACATGCAAGGTGGAGATGCAGTCAAAATCAGAGAATGGTGACTCAAGACAACAGCCACACGGGTGTGAACAGGGGCAAATGGTGGATGGACACGCAGGGAATAAGGGATGGCCATGGTGGGTCAAGACTGAGTACCTGGACTCCTGGAGAATATCGCCTCTTCTGGGCCTGAGAGGGTCCAGCAGGTTATTATAAAAATGAGAGAGGACACAGAAGACAGGAGACCAGGTCAGAAAGAAACAGCCATGGAAGAGCTTTGACCCAGCTGTGGTGGATGAGCAAACCAATCTAAATCCCCAAACAGAAATGTAGGGTCTGTGGAGGGCATTTAGCAAGTCCTTACACCCCTCAAAATTGTGGGCAAAACTGTGCATAGAGGCTTGTTTGTTTTCTAAGGAGAGGGTCTGTTAGTATCAATCCCAAAGGGGCCCACTAGGAATTCCTCTGAGGCTTTCAGAAACTTTATAATATAAACACACAGCACTACATTATACCAGAAGGCCCCACTTATGTCTCTGAGTCAGAAGGCCAGGCCACATGTTTTGTCTGTATCCAGAAGACAGTATTTCTATAAGAAGGGGAGAGACAGGACTGACAAATAGGGCTAACTTCTTTCGAATTCAAGATGGCCTTTACTACCCAGAATCTCAGGATACATCTGTTGCCCAAAAGACAAAAATCCTACCACTTGAGAGACAATGAAGTTAACTCTAATCCAAAGCGATCATCTACCCTCTAAGTGAGCTTTATGGACATATATTTTCCAAATAGCTTTGTCATTCTAACCTACAACATGTGGGTAAGGAAGAAGCTCCATGGAAGCATGGTGGCATGGTAGATTTACAAAAACCCCGAGGCTTGAGGGTATTCAGCTTTGCTCTAGAAAACTGCTACGGTTCTAAGCTAGAAGCAACAAGAGGTATATACACAAGCTCAGGCCAGGCCTGCCCTACGGGAAGGATGTGTGAGGGTGTAGAGCCCGAAGCATTTCTTCCTCTAACACTTAGTGAGCACCTATTAGGAGCTAGGCACTGTTCCAGATACTGGGGTTCAATGGAAAACCAGACAGACTGGTATCTGCTGTCACAGAGCGGACACAGAGTAGAAGAGACAAACAATAAACAAGCAAATAAAATTATTTCAGAGAGAGGGGTACCTGGCTGGCTCAGTTGGAAAAGAAGCACGCAACTCATGATCTCAGGGTCGTGAGTTTGAGCCCAAAGGTTGGGTGTAGAAGATTATTTAAATAAAACTTTTTTAAAAAATTATTTCAGAGAGGGATAATGCTATGATGAAAAATAAAAGAGGTAACAAGATAGGCTACTGAGGGAATAGCTCTCTGAGGAGACAACATTTGAGCTGGTCATTAGAGCCACCAAAAGATCTGTAGGTGTAAGAAGCATGAGGTTGGCATATTTGGGGACTAGAAGACACCAGTGTCTGAAACGCAGCCAGTGAGGGAGAGGTGGGTGTGAGCTGAGGCACAAGCCAGATCACACTGGGCCTTGGAAGCCACAGTGAGGACCGTAGGGTAAGCCCCCCACTGCTCTGCTCTTATGCCACTGCTGGAATATGCACAGGACTACAGAAAGGTACAAAATCAATCAGTGGATGACTAAATTTCCCCAAACTACTCTTCTACATCTATCATTTGGAACAAGGGAATTATGAGTATGTTGTCAAGCAGAGTACAGAAACGGGCTTCTGACAAGAATGCTCATCACTTCAGTGAACAATTAGGGAAAAGGGAGTAACAATGCCCTGGGTAGCCCATTTATCGACCCTAGTACGCATGATCAGAAGTTTATGTTGCACCTTTCAAAAGGGTGCCTCAGACAACTGTCCTTAACCGACAGCAGCCTTCCTCTTCCCAAGGCTGGTGAGGCATCCGATTATCCAGGAATAGCCAGAGGGAGGCTGGCCCCCAGCATCACCTGCGGGAGTTTTCCAGTTGCACATACATGTGGGGCTCTCAAAGAGTCTCAGTTATAGGTCTAGAGGGGAGCACAGGCTTATGTATTTTTCAAAAAGCACCACAGACAGTTGTGATATACAACCAAGTTTAAGAAACACTGCACCAGACCCAGCGCCCCACACCTTTGGAGCCAGAATCTGTCTACTTCAGCAACTCGTGACACGGCCTTCAACTTTTCACCTCATACTAGTAGTAAGTCTTTAAATGCCCTCTTATTTTCCATGCCCAGTCAGGAGTTCTTAAGTGTTCCTTGGGAAGCCACTAATTTCACACAGCAGCTCATTTTCTTTCCTTGGAAAGCAGCCTATATATAGCAAGAACCAAAGGCTGAAGAATCACTCGGACTCAAGGAGGGTGGTAGTTTCATTCCTAATTTAAGAGTCACTAAAAATTAGGCACTCCTACCTATCATCCAAATGATTATTGACTGTAGGGTGAAGGAATATTTCCAAATTTTTGTACCATGAGGACACTTCAAAAAAAAAAAAAAAAAGAACCCTCTACATGGTAATTGTACCTTCAGCCTACCTTGACTGAAGGGAGACCCATGAACTTGTGGATTTATGGATCCTATGCTAAAACTCCACAGATCCCAAGCACACAAGTAGTGTAAACCACTAGACAGAAAAAGGTGCCCACACGGCCTCTGTAATCAGGGAGACCTGGGTTCTAACTGCAGTTATTATGCCACTCAGGGCTGTATAACCTTGGGTGGATTACATTAGCTCTTTGAGATTATTCCATTTCCTCCCTGTAAGCAGGCAGAATAACACAGAGCTCACAGGCCTGATCATGAAGATACAACGAGATATGTAAAGCATTTAGTACAGTGTCTGGCATTCAGGAGGGAGTCAATAAACATTCATTTAATCAAAGACTAATGAATTTCTAGACAGAAACACTATTCACAGGTGCTCATATATAAGCACAAAGCCAGGGACACCTGGGTGGCTCAGCTGGTTAAACGGCTGACTTTTTTTTTTTTTTTTTTTTTTTAAGCAGCTGACTCTTGATTTCAGCTCAGGTCACGCATGATCTCATAGTTTGTGAGATCGAGCCTCACGTCTGGCTCTGCACTGACAGCAGGGAACCCGCATGGGATTCTCACTCTTCCTTTCCCTCTGCCCCTTCCTGGCTCTTGTGCACACCCGCTCTCTCAAAATAAATAAATAAGTTTTTAAATAAATAAATTAATTAAATAAGCACAAAGCCAAATATGCATCTTCTACAGAAGGCCACTGGCTGCCACACACCAGTAAAATCTCCAAAAATATCTTGGGGATTAATGGGTTTCCCTTTTCTGACCTACTAAATATTAAAATAGAACAACCATCTATAATAAATATTTTGAAAAGAACACCAAAAGGGGCGCCTGGGGGGCTCAGTTGGTTGAGTGACCGACTTTGGCTCAGGTCATGACCTCACGGTTTTCGAGTTCGAGCCCCGCGTCGGGCTCTGTGCTGACAGCTCAGAGCCTGGAGCCTGCTTCTGATTCTGTCTCCCTCTCTCTCTGCCCCTCCCCCACTCATGCTCTGTCTCTGTCTCAGAAATGAATAAACATTAAAAAAAATTTTTATGAAAAGAACACCAAAAGAGGGGCAACTGGGTGGCTCAGTGGGTTAAGTGTCTGACTTCAGCTCAAGTCACGACCTCACAGTTCATGAGTTTGAGCCCTGCATCAGGCTCTGCACTAACAATGTGGAGCCTAGTTAGGATTCGTTCTCTCTCCCTCTCTCTCTACCCTCCCCCAGTTGCATGCACACCCTCTCTCTTTCAAGATAAATGTAAAAAGTCGGGGCGCCTGGGTGGCTCAGTGGTGGTTAGAATCGAACTTGGTAGCCTGGGTGCTCGCGTCGTTAGCGGCGACTCGGCTCGCGCGGAATCGCGATCTCACACTCCGGCGTTCCGAGCCCAGCGTGGGGCTCTGTGCATGACAGCTCTCAGAGCCTGGAGCCTGTTCAGATTGTGTCTCCCTCTCTCCTGACCCTCCCCCATTCATGCTCTGTCTCTCTCTGTCTCAAAAATAAATAAACGTTAAAAAAAAAATTAAAAAAAAAAAAGAATCAGACTTCGGTTCAAGTCATGATCTCAGTTCGTGAGCTCGAGCCCCGCGTCGGGCTCTGTGCTGATAGCTCAGAGCCTGGAGCCTGCTTGGCATTCTGTGTCTCCCTCTCTTTCTACCTCTCTCCCACTCACACTGTCTCTCAAAAATAAACATAAAAAATTTTTTTTAATGTAAAAAGTTAAAAAAAAAAGAACTATATATTTTCACAATAAACAATTTAGCATTTATGAAAATTCATTTCACTGTTCCTATTTGTTAGACCAGTGAAACTTGTTACCAACCAATATGAGTTCAGGAACCTTTAGGAGCCGCTCTCTTAGAGCAGTTTTTTCCAATCTGAGGCATCATGCAGTTGGGTAAGCTGGCCAAGTTTGCTCTCTGGAACATAGACATGAAGAAAAAGAGGGTGATGAAGAGAGGGAGAAAACAGCCACAACCACTATTGCCAAGATGTCTGCACAATGTTCCTTGAGAATGCCAGTTAGTGGTATGAATGAGAAGAGCTAGCACTTTTGAAATAGTTTTGTTTTTTTTTTCAACGTTTATTTATTTTTGGGACAGAGAGAGACAGAGCATGAACGGGGGAGGGGCAGAGAGAGAGGGAGACAGAATCGGAAACAGGCTCCAGGCTCTGAGCCATCAGCCCAGAGCCCGACGCGGGGCTCGAACTCACGGACCGCGAGATCGTGACCTGGCTGAAGTCGGACGCTTAACCGACTGCGCCACCCAGGCGCCCCGAGCTAGCACTTTTGGAACACTTCCTCTGTGCCACGCACTGTGCTCAGTCATGTACACGCACCTATTTATTTAATCCCCACAGCTTTAAGGGGTGGGATTAGTATCCCCATTTGACTGGTAAGAAAACTTGTGTAAGTAGTAAAACCAGAATTTGAAGCCAGGTAGTCTGGCCCCAGAACACTGGCTCAGTCACTGTGCTTCCGTATATACTGGTAGAAACCAAAAAACAAAACAACAAAAACCCTAGGTCTCTAATATACCTTGAAACACAGAAATATTAGAGGATGCTTCCAGAGTTTAAAAAAGGAATGAGATGACAACTGAATATGACAGAGAATCTGGGGTTTTCTTTTGCTACAAAGGGCATAGTGGGACAATTGGTGAAAGTTG